CTGCCTACAACAGCAGAGACAGCAATGTCTGGCCCAGCAGGCCCTCCAGCCCTATGTCCTATGAGTGTGGAAAAGCGGTGGAGCTGTACTGACATGCCCTGAACCACGAACCGTCATTTGCACTAATCCAAAATGGGTGTGAAACATCATCACTTCCTGCCCAGTGCTGGAAGGAGCACTGGCCCTGACCCTCTCTGCTCTAACCACTAGACCCCACTTCCCTCGCAGAGCTGGGAGCCAGGTCCCTCCTCCCCTCACACTGCTAGTCCTGGAGTCACCCTCCTGCAAGAGCCTCCAAAGTCACATGCCAGCTGCTCCTTCACCCACCTTAATAATTGAGATGCCAGTGGCTGGGGGCTCTGCTTGATGCTGGCCAGGGCTGGGGCCAGGTCAGGGACAGCCCAGCTGTGCCCAGGTCTGAGCCTCACTGCCCTCATCCCTGCTGCTGCTTGGTCCCCAAGGAAACACGCGCACCCCCATCCCATGTACCCCCAGGGCTCTCACACAGTCACAAGCTCCCATATCCCCGGAGCAACAGGACCTCCTGACCCGGATGACTCCCAAGGACCTCATATCCCCAGTACAATGGGACACCCGGACCCAGACAACATCCCAGAACCCCTGACCCTGGGTCCTTAGTACAAGGGGACCCTGGCTCCAGCTGACACCCTAGGACCCTTGACCCCAGTTACCCAGTTCAAGGGGGCCCCCTGCTCCAGATGACACCCCATCCCAGGACCCCAATCCCAGATTCCCAGTACAAGGCGACTCCCAGATGACACCCCCCCAAACATACACATGACAGACATTAGTCACGTCATTTAATGCACCACCAGGAGGGGCTCGGATGCCACGGTGATAGGCGTGGGGTGAGAACTTCTCTGGGATACACGTGGTGCAAGCCCAGGCAGGCACCCCAGGGACCTGGCCAGCATGTTGCTGCTGCTTGCATTGGTATTCCAGGCCACCGCTGCGATCCCTCCAAACCCCATCGCTGTGCTCCTGCTGTTCAAGGAAAACACCCGCCTTCCCCTGTCTCTTCCTTGGCATCAGGCGTTTCCGTTGCCAAGCAACGGCCTCGAGAGGCTTTTCCTGCCACTGATCAATTTTGCCAGCCGCTAGCTGGAATGGCTGGACCCAGGTGCCTGCTACCTGTGGCACCACCTGAGACCCAAGGGTTGGGAGGGAGGGGGCTGGCGCTTGCCAAAGACCCTTCCAAACCCACAGGCAGAGCCTGCATGTAAACTCCATTGAGCTGCTGCCTGTCATGGGGGGTAGGTGGATGTGGCCCTGAGACACAGTGTGCAGATGTGCCTGGAGCATGGCATGCAGAGGGACTGACACACGTTGAAGGTGGCATGTGCTGAGATTAGCATGTGCCATGCACAGAGCTAAGCATGCATGAGGGAGGCATGCAGCAAGAGTGCCATGCACTGCAGATGGCATGCAGGATGCAGTGAGATGAGCATGCATCACAGGTGGCACACAACGTGGATGGCACTGCAGATTTCAATGGGCCGAAGCTGTATTTGCAGGCAGTGCTGTCCAAGTGTCCCCTCCCCAGTCACTTCCCGGGGCATCGGTTTGCAACACAACTCTGCCCTGGTGCTGGACTGTGGGAGAGGAGAAAATTCACTGGAGACCCATGGGTAACAGTGAGCTAGATATACACACACATTGGGCTGCAATGCACTGAGTGCTGCACAGACCCTGATCGAGATCAGGGCTCCAGCGTGCCAGGCGCTGCACAGACCCCGACCGAGACCGGGGCCCTGTTGCACCAGGTGCTGCACAGACCCTGTTTTGCTCTAGTGCAGGTAACTACAGAAAATTTGTGCCCTGTGGCTGTGGGGCTTCCAACCTCCATGTTGATTTTTTATATTCATTGCTCCAACTCTGGAGAACCCAGCTCCTGCTTGCAAAAGCGGAGCCCTTCAAACCTTATGCCGGCCGGGGCTGAAGGAGAATCCCTATTGGCAGTATAGGGACTATGACACACACATCAGCAGTTCGGCTTGGACCAGCAGAGGGCAGCAGGGAGGCACATGCGCAGCTATAATCTCCCACTGGGGTGACCTACCAGTTGTAGATTATAAAGTCACACACAAATCTCAGGAGCAGAGAGCTCCAGGATGGTTTAACTTCGTGGCTCCCTGCAGTATGAGCTGTACCAAGTGGGGCATGGGGGGCTGGAGAGTAAGGAAAGGGGGCTCTCCAAGATCATGCTGATCCTGGGATGGTGGGAGCCATGGTGGGGGAGGGGAGAGAGAGTTAGTGGGAAATCTGCAGCAAACTGGAGGCTTTTTATAGAAACACTAAAATATCAAATTAGGGAGGAATTATAGGAGCATAATAAGGGCCCTTCATTAGCGGAGCAGAGCCGGGTGGAAGAGGGGGAAATACACGAGCGGGGAGGGGAATAAATATGTATGTGGCTCTTCCTCATTCCTCGCAGATTCATTAGCCCAACATTGCAGGAGGAGTTTCTCTTTCCGTGCTGCGGGCCAGGGTTTACAGATCTTAAATTGCAATGATTTACGCTCTGCTGCTGGATGTTGTTATTAACGTTATGGTAGCACCTAAAGGGCCTGACTGAGATCAGGGCCTCCATTGTGCCAGGCGCTGCCCAGACCCTGACTGAGATCAGGACCCCATTGTGCCAGGCGCTGCACAGACCCCGACTGAGATCAGGGCCAGTTGTGCCAGGCGCTACACAGACCCCGACTGAGATCAGGCCCCCATTGTGCCAGGCGCTGCACAGACCCTGACTGAGATCAGGGTCCCATTGTGCCAGGCGCTGCACAGACTCCGACTGAGATCAGGGCCCCATTGTGCCAGGCGCTGCACAGACCCTGACTGAGATCAGGGTCCCATTGTGCCAGGCACTGCACAGACTCCGACTGAGATCAGGGCCCCATTGTGCCAGGCGCTGCACAGACTCCAATTCCTCTTCAACCTACCAGGCTCCCAACACCTCCAGAAAAGAGATGCCTAGGTTGGAAAAACAGCTGTCATCTCACTTAGCACCTAAGACGCGGCTGTCTCTGGGGCAGGACGCAGGGGCTGTTTATACAGGGACACCTGACCCCCCCCAGCACTGCGATGCAGCAGCGTCTAGGGTGGGGAGCAGTTTAACAGCAGCACATAACAGTTTAAGATAGGAAGTGAAGATTCAAGTATCAGATAAAACTACAGAGAGATTAAGAGGAGAGCGTGCCTGCTACTGAGCCTACCCCCTGCAGCACAGGGCCCGAGTGCTGCGCTGGGGCCCTGGGGCCAGCACTGACAGCTATGGGAGAGAGCCCCCTACTGAGCCGCCACTGGTCCTTGAAGCAGTGCCCCCATGGACCATGCTGGGGCACTGGGCCAGCACTGACTGGGGGCAGAGAGGACCCCAATTGAGCCCTCCCACCCTGCGCCTTGCAGCACAGCGCCCCCTAGCATTGCACAGGGATACTGGGGCCAGCACTGACTGAGGGGACAGCGCCCACTAGCATTGTGCATTGGGGTCAGCCAGGCAGGAGAGGGCATGACCACGGGGGAAAATGTGACTGGTACTGGTCCAAGGGTTGTGTGTCACTCTGCATGGGGACAAGAGCCAAGGAGCTTCCTGACTGGTGTGAATGTCACGAAAGGGCTTCAGCCCAGAGTCAGGCCGGTCCGGTAATTAGTGTCCACAGGGGAAGGTCGGCACAGAGGCTCCAGACTCCTCCAGCGATGCTTTGGACTGAGCTGAGACCCAACACAGTGATTTCACGCTAGGGCTAAGGAAGAGCCATCTGAGGGGAAGGTAGGTGGGTCACCAGGACCCCGACTGCCACGCGAGGAGAGAGAGGGTGAAGGGATGGAGCAGGGCTCGGAGCAAATCAGTGGGAAAGGTGGGAAGAGAATTCAGGCCTAACTCCCAGGCCCCGCCCCCACTCTAACCCACTAGACACCCCGCCCCCCAGAGCTGGGGATGGAACCCAGAAGACCTAACTGCCCCCTGTACTAACCCACTAGACACCCACCCCCCGGCCCAGAGCAGAGATAGAATCCAGGAGGGACATTTCAGAAAACTTCAGGGGTGAGGGGAGGGCAAAGCTATGTCAGGATATAGAGCCTTATACGTGACTATTCTATCCTGCATCGGTGTGTGTGTGGGGGGGATGGCATAATGGAGCATGTAGACCTATGAAAATCTGTGGGGTGGCAACTGCCCCTGCCTGGATCCCAGACCCCTGCTCTTACCCACTAGACCACACTCCCCTCCTAGAGCTGGGATAGAACCCAGGAATCCCGGCTCCCAGCCCCCTGCTCTCACCCACTAGACACCCCCTCCTTAGAACATTCCAGACCATCCCAGCCATCATCCTTTTAGGTGCAGACTTAAAAGTGGGGGAAATACCGCTGGGGGTCCCCTCTCCATCCCCCTCCCTCATCACAGCCCCAGAGGGGAAGGGTTCACAGCCCGACTGGGGGGGCACAACGCCAAAGGGCTTGAACAAAAAAAACCTCTCCCTGGGGACAAATCCCAGGGTTCTTGGTTTGCAGTCACTACTGCATTAGATGAAAGACCGATGGGGCCAGATGCACACCTGGTGTAAACCAGGGTCAATGAAGTGATGCTGATTTACACCAGCTGGGGATCTGGCCCCATTGACTCCAATGGAGCGATGCTGATTTACACCAGCTGGGAATCTGGCCCCACTGACTTCCAACGCAATGATGTTGATTTACACCAGCTGGGGATCTGGCCCCCATTGACCTGCAGTGGAGTGATGCCGATTTACACCAGCTGGGGATCTGGCCCCATTGACCTCCAGTGGAGTGACACTGATTTACACCAGCGGGGGATCTGGCTCAGCCCAACCCCCTACCCCCTCCTGACGGCTGCCCTTTATGACGACGCTGCATCATTATCCCCACAGCCCCTTTTTGGCTCCAAAAGGCCCCGTGAACCATAAAACAGGCTTTGCTCTCTCTGGCCCCTCTGCCATTTTAGCTGCAGGGGGTGGGATGGGGGTGGGGGGCTGCCAGAGTCCAGCTAGCAGGAAGGAGCCAGGCTCTTCCTCCCGTTACACTGAGTTGCATCGCCCCGGCTAGCACAAATGCACAGCGCGCTCTAGATCTCGTCTGGCGCATCAGTGGCACAGCAAGCTCTCTCTCCTGCGCTCCCCAGCAGCAGTGACTGTGTGTGTGTGTCTGGGGGTTGCTCTTTGCTCTCTCTCTCTCTCACACACACACACACCAACGTTCACTCTGCTCCACACTTCATCCCTTGGCCTTAGCTCGCCCCATGCCGCGAGCCAGCCCTCCCTCCCCACCCACCCCTCTGTTTTAACACCCCCCTCGCCGATTTCCTAGTCTGATTCTCCATCCTTTTTGCCTCGTTACTGGAATAAACTGGCCGGCTGGCGTGATAAACTTTGTGGAGGGAGAGAGCGATTGGACGCCAAACAGGTAAGCTTCCACCCCCAAATATATGTAGAGAGAGATTTGTTTGTATTGAAGCCCAGGATGCCTGGGTTCCAAACAGATCTCGCTTGCAAAGCTGCTCCGGGATTTGCAATGATAGCGTGGTTAAAATGCCTGGGCTCCACCGTACAGATTCACTGCTCTGGATTTTCCTAGCTTTCTAAGACTTTTCTGTGATTAAAACCCCATTATGTAGGGGTCTGCCCCTCAGCTGTTAGCTCATGGAGCTTATTTACTTTTGCTGGAGAAACCAGGGTTTTCCAAAAACCTGCAGCAAATCCAAACCTCCACTGCCTCTGTTCTCAAGTTGGGTGTTTTTTGTGCAATAGGGCAAAAGGATGGAGATGGTTTTGGGCACTGATTTTAAGTGGGGGGGGGGAAGCTTGTGTGATTTGATTTCTCTGTCCCTACCTGGAATTATTTATTTCACACAGGGGAAGGAAAAGTGAGGAGAGGTCAGCAGACCAAAAACAAAAAAGAGGGATTTGAGAATCGGCTAATGGGGTGGGGGGTGGGGGGGGGAGCAAGCTGCTTTCCTGAGCAAGACTGAAATAGCCGCTGTGCTGTGAAGAGCTGGTTTTGCACCTGGAAAAGATGCAGCGGGGTGTGTGTGTGTATGAGTGTCTTTCCCATTAGACCCCAGAGTGAAATATTTTTTGTGCTCATTCACCTCTGCATGCGTGTTTCATGTCGCTTTTCATGTACCATTCCATTCATGCATACATGATAGCCGTGCCCGTAGCTGAGTGCACAAACAGGGACATTCCAACCACTTAAGGAAACAAGGTGCTCGGGCGAGCTTACACTTCAGTAATCTTTCTGAGCAACAGCAAAATCTCTCCCCACTCCCCCCAAGCAGCTGGGTTGAAATCTGTTGCAAGGAAGGAACCCACAATTTGGAGAATTTCTCCCAATTTATGCTGTGTATTTTTTCCGGAGGGGGTTCCGGAAAGAAAAGCGATACTCTGAATTTTGCAGCATTGCCCGATTCACATTCGGCATTTCATTTCCTAGTAGGAGGGCAAAGAATCCAAAATTCAACATCGAACGCCGGGCTGGCATGGACATAAAGCTGAGCTTTTTTGTTTTTTTAAACTGGACCCTGCTGTAAAGAAAAATTCTCCCTGGCGGCTCTAATCTTTTGCAACTTCTCAACATGGGCAAAAGGATTTGGAATTCACGGTTTCCAAATGGACCAGGAAAGTTGGGAACTTTCATTGAATTAATAATGTTTTCAAGGTGCTTCCACTATAGAGAAGAAGGGTTATTTTAGCTCTTAATCCTGCAAGGATTTAAACAATTGCCCCCTTTTCCTCAAGGTGAATAAATCGAAGTAACAATTAACCCTGCTCTCAGAAAAGCCGATATTTCCCTCCTTCTTAAAGTATATTTATAAGAAAGCAATGCGTGTATATTGTACTTGGTGGACTGGCTTCTATCAAAGCAGATGCACGCAGTGGTGTAACTCAATACACGACTTCTCCTTTGGATTTGATTTTACTTTGGATGGTGTTAGCTTGATATTTTTAATAAGCTGTTTGCTAGTGACTTTTCCTGTCCCAGCCTATGTTGAATAGAAAGACGTGGGATCTATCTATCTATTTATCTATCTGCATTAATTCTGGCGACTCAGTCTGTAAATGTTTTGTGTCTGCTTTTGGGAATAGCTCAGTGGCCTGCAATCATAGTTCTTCCACTCAAAGGTGTTTTATGAAAACAGAAATATTTTATGCACTCTATTTTATTTGGATTTGTGTGTGTCTCTCTTTCCTTTGGGGGGGGGAAAGAACACCCCCCACCCCAAATAATCCTGCTACTGGTTTTGTGTGTGCGGTCCATGAAAAAGAAAAAAGATTTCTTGCAGAATCAGGGCCAGAGGCCCCGCGGGCTGAATTTTGAGCCGTGATTTTAAGACAGAAAGCTTTCAGACACCCCTTTCTGTAATGTCTCGCTTTTTGCCCAGTTCGTGGCAAGAATTGAGGCCTATGGAACTGTGGCAGGAGAAATGATCCGGCAAAGTTTTAAAATAAAAATCAATTTTGTTGCCTTGAAAAGTGGGGAAAATTTCTGCTTCGGGGGATTTTGTGGCTGCTGTTAAAAACTGAATAGCCCAAACATTGAGACTGTGTAGTGGGGCGGGGGCTGAAGTGCCAGCCAGGTAGCTGGATTTGCTTAAGGAAATAACATATTTAGGGCTAGGGAAAGGAAATGAATGAGAACTAGCTGCTGCTGAAAGAAAGGAGATGGGTGTATATGGCAATGGAGGAAAATATTGGTGGGTGAAAATGACCTGCATCTGTGGACAGCGGAAGTCTTCTTGTGTATTAGACCAAACTTCTGGCTCTGTTGTGAATTGAACAGGCTGGCAAATGGGAGCAAAAAGAGGACGGAAAAGCAGAAATACACTTTTCGAGTCCATGTCTGTAGTTTTTCCACCTGTGTCAGCAACAAGGAGGGCCCATCTTGGATCATACCGTTCTGCTCTTAATCTGGGAAAGTCCCAGATCATGGCTTGATTTCCCCCCATCCCTGGCCGAGGGGAGAGACACAATTCCCAGGCTCAGAAAGGCAGAGGCCCCAGATTCATAGAATCTGCAAACAAATAGCGGGAACCATTTCTCAGCATTAGGGCAAGTCATGGCCTCTGTTCAGTCCCTGACAGCTGGTTAGTTCGCCACATTTCTGCCTTGCACGTGAAATCTGCCCAGCTTCCCCCATTTCTGGTTTGCAAAGGCAGCCTGCAGGGGCTGGGAGGATCAAGCGGTGGGATCAAAACGGAGTCAGGATGCTCGGGTTCTATACCTAGCTCTGGGAAGGGAGTAGGGTCTAAGGGGTTAGAGTGGGGTTAGGGCTGGGAGCCAGGACTCCTGGGTTCTATTCCCAGCCCTGGGCTGGAAATGGGGGTCTAATGGATTAGAACCGGGGGTGGGGGGCTGGAGGTCAGGACTCCTGGGTTCCATTCTCAGCTGTGGCCTGGCGGGGTGCAGAAAGCCTCCCTGCCTCAGTTTCCCTGCCTCTAACATAGGGATAATGATGTTGACTTAGCTAGCTGAAGAGCCAGAGCGCTGAAGTACAAAGCTGCCCGAGAGATCAAATGAAAATGACCTCAAGTCCTTATGCTCCTTGTCTGATTTTGACAAGGCTCTGAGTCAAAGAGAGTTGTGGAGGCGAATTCATGATGAGGTATGATCTGTACTGTGCTTGTGCCCAGGGCCCTGGTCATGGACCAGGCCCCCACTGTGCCAGGTTCTGTACAGACACAGAGCAAAAAACTCAGCCTCTGGAAGGAAGCCTGCAGACCTGCAATCCAGAGCAGTGGTTGTAGCGGGGCCTGTGGTGTCAGCAGCAGCCCTGGCACACCCACACTCCGGGCTGGAGGAGCGCTGGGCTTGGTGTGGTGTTCGCTGTGCCGTGGTGAAGTTGCACATGCTGTCCGATACATGTCACAGCCTGTCATACAATCACAAACACACATGCATGGTTTCACACAACCATTCCCACACACTCCCACTCCAAAAGGAAACCACAGCAGAGACCAGGGAGCGTGGTCTAATGGCTAGGGCACGGGGCAGGGAATCACAGGGCTCCTGGGCTCTATTGCTGGCTCTGTCACTGACCTGCTGGGTGACCTTGAGCAGGTCACGGCCCCGCTTCATGCCTCAGTTTCCCCCCTGCCCTTTGTTTGTTTGGACTGTTGCCCCCTGTGTCTGTGCAGCGCCAGCTCCGATATTGGTCACAAGATGCATAATTAAAGCCGAGATGAAAGCCAGGGTGGGATCGGCCAGAACTAGCAAAGCAAATGCTATCAAATCAAATACAGTGGATTCCCCACCCTCCCTCTAGTGGGAGCCCCTTTCGGCTGCTCTCACACTGCTAGGGATTCAGGGTACCTCTCAGCCCCAGGTGTCAGAGCGAATGGCCCTCTTAGCACCCCATGGCCGGGTCTAGGTTGCATGCACACCTGGGTGTGGCTGTCCCAGTCCCATTTCTCTGCTGCAGCCCAGCCAGCTGCTCCTGCACATGGGGTCTGAGCTGGATATGGAGAGATGAAGCCAGCTTCCCTAGGCAAGGGAAGTGGGGAGCAGCAACCGCACCCTGGGAATCAACCAGCAAGCTCTGGGTCTTTCCAACAGAAGGTCTGCTGCCAGCGCTGTAGCAGTCACTACATACTGCCCAGATACCACGGCAGCCCTGGCCTGCACAGACAGTCTTTTTAGCGCAGGCTCCAGCATTAAGACCGAAGGGTCCCCGGTTCTAGGCCCACTGCCGGCACCACCACCTCCCCGCAGGGCAGCTCAGCACAGAACACGTCCTGTTTGTAGTTGTGTCTTTTGCCCTTTGCACAACAGCAGTGGGACAGGACCCCCAGTGCAAATCACCAGTTGCTGAGCAGCTAGGACATGCAAGGCTTAGTTATGGATACACGCTGCTGTGCTGGCTGAGGTCTCGGCCCAACAATGCAGTGGGCGCTGCTAGAGGACTCACCAGCTATTTAAAGGGATATAACCCAATTCCTATACTACTTCAGCGGTGACATGGACATGCTGGCTAGGCCACGCTGGCTCTGCTAACACTCCCACCACACAAACACACACACAGAGCAGCTCAGCATAAGATGGGTTTCCGTATGCACTGACTGACTGAGGGGAATGGGCTCTATCCCCAGCACTGGGAAGGGAAGGGAGTCTAGTGAGCATGTTCCCACTCTTTGCTTCAGCTTCCCCCTCTGTACAATGGGGATAATGATACTGACCACTGCTGGAAAGTGTGTTTGGAGATCTACAGATGAACATCACCATAAGAGAGCCAGGGATGAGTTTGTATGTGTGTACACACAGCTCCACCCACATGATGCCGCCCTGGGGTTTCAGTGACTGATGTAACAATTTTAACAGGTGCCATCAGTCCATTAGAGCTGTTTGTTTCTCAGTTGTACTGCGCCTTGGGGAAGCCTCTGTGTGTGTGTATCTGTCTGTCTGTCACAG